CTACTTGCTAATAAAAATTATTATTTCAAAAATATAAATAATTTCCAGTAAATTATATGAGTTTATTGAACATTTATTAAAATCAATTTCTAATAAATAATGAATGCTATCAAGTTGTTGTTAGTGTGACCCTTGAGGGTCATATATTATTTAGCAATTTCATTTTGTGATGACTTTTGGGCATATAGATATTTCAATACTCTTTGGGTTGGACCCGTATGTGGCGTGGGGCCTGTTATATGAGCGTAGCCTGATATGTATGTGGGTGGGGGCGTTATGTATGATTGGGCAGGGCCTGTTATGTTAATTCGGGCAGGGTCCGTTACACTCTTGGGTTGGGTCTGTTATATATGATACATGTATGTGGATTATAGATTTGGCTGTCAGGCGCTGGAGCCAAGGACTTTACTTATACGTATTATATGTATGGTGGAATATGTGGTATACTAGGGAACTCACTAAACTTTATGCTTATAGTTGTGGATTAAATATTTTATATGTTGTTTGTGAGAAGAGCTTGATAGGAGCATGCACACGCATCAAATATTTTATTTCTTTATTTTTGTAACCCAACCCTGATAACATTGTGGTTTTTCACAAATGAATGTCATTTATTGTTTTTAAGTAAATGATTTTAATTGATTAATATATTTTACAAATGAAAAATATTTTTCTAATTTTTGGGACATTCCAGAGTTTGGATGAACTCAAGAACCTGTGAGTGCCTTACTTGGTTACTGGACCATTGTGGTTGCTAGAAAAAAGGACTTTTAGGACTTAGTTAGGTGTCCATGCAATTGGTACAGCCATTAAGAAATTAGGATTAGAGATTGTGGCTTATTATGATGTCTTAATAGATAAAGTTTATCCACTAAGACCATGAGAAGGGTCAGATCCAAGCTTTACAGCTCTAGTGGTTAAGGGTTAAGAGCTTAATCTGTTAAGTTGAAAAATACAGTCCTGATGACGTGGAGAGTTGTTTGCCACGACGTAGAGGTTGGCGTCATCACGAAATTTTTTTGTCATGAAGCTGCCACGACGTTGTCGTTGGGTGTCCACGACGTGGGAGTCAGCTGGGGTTGACTCTAACTATTGACTTTTTAAACAAGTTAACTTTTTGTCAACTTGAGGGTTTTAGGGTGTAGACTGAGAGGGTATGCCAATATTGATGATATGTGACTCGTAAAGCCATTTTTCACTGTTTGAGAGATGTGTGTTTGTCTGTTATTTGCACAGTGAGTCTTCTCATTGTATTGCCTATATCATAATGTGTGCATACTAGACCAACTGGGTATTTATTGTTGATTGTTGTTATATGAGTTGGTGATACCTCCATGACTGCTGATAGTCCCAAGGGTTGCTGATAACCCATACGGATGTTGTAAACATAAAGTGTAAACATGATTGAAAATGAATGTTATGGTAAGAAGGATAGTACATAAAAAGATTTATACATTAATCAAAAATAATAGATAAGAGTTGTTGTAGAATGAAGGGGTGAGAGGTGAGAAATTCACTACATAGAGCACATGTAATAAGGAAGGGAGTGGTCGGAGAAGGATGTCAGGTGGAGGGTGGCCGGAGACAGGGAGGTTGAGAAGCGGAGAGACGACTACTTTAATAATAACAAAAAGAATAGATTAAATGAAATTGTAAATAATTATATCACAGACACCTATGTCAAATATATAGCGGGCACCTAAGTCAACTTATTTAGAAGGTTACAAAAAATTAAATAAGCTTTACACAAACGATGATTTTTTAAAAGGAAAAACCTTAGAAAAACGCAACCTATTATCATTTAATTTGCAAAAAAACATTATTAGTATTATTTTGTGCTAAAAAAATTATGTTCTGATCAATGGTAATATTTATTCACAACCGTTTGAGAGTCGGTTATGATGGTTACATAGACTTAGAAAAACCTAATCTATTATCCTTCAATATACGAAAAATCATTATGTTACAATAAAATCATTTTCTAATTTGATATTTTTTTTATAATAATGTTTAGTAACCGTGTAGCTCTTGATAATCAGTTATGTAGCCTACACGGTTCTAAAAGAAATGACTTGACATTATGTAAAAACTAGAAGTCAAATTCTAACTGTTCACTTGCCGTTGATAGAACTCAAATTCCTTTAAAGGGCTTAGTGATCAATACAATTTTTTGGAACGATAAATAAGCTGATGAATTCTGCCACTCTGCGGTGGTAATATCTGTTTTTTTATCATGTACATATTGTTTAGGCTATACGGAATGCAAGGGGGTATTTTGTCGCAAAGGAGATGACTACACAAGAGCCAAACACCTTTCCACATGATTCGCACCAAGGTTAGGAAATGTTGTTCCACTAGTAAGTTTGTAGTGAGTGGAGAGAAAAAGAGTGAGAAGAAGAAATATAGAGAAGTCTCTTTGATTTGTGAAGAAACATAACATCAAAAAAGTCACAACGAAGTGGTGGTGTATCCCCTTCCCTCCAACTGATCACGTGTGAGTTAGCTTCATGTCACCATGCACGTAAGAAAATAACACATATCTTTTAGCCTTATAAAAATATATTAACAAACCTTTTGTCGTAAATTAAATGAGTGAAATTTCACTTTATTGGCTTGTATTTTAAAAATCTTTTTATTTTAGGATTTGATAAATCTTATATAACTTTAAAATATAATAGGTCTTTTAAAAATATGACAATTTTAAATTTGCTTATTGGATTGCTTTTTATCCGATCACTGTACCTCTAATCAAAATTTCCTTATTAGCTTTGCTTCACATCAGAACTCTCTCGAGTTCACGAATCTTCTGTAATTTTGAAGCATAATATCCCCACATAGGCCCGCTTATATCTCTAGGTTTTTGGCCCATTCAACCTTGTATCATTGTTTAGCTTGGTTATTAGAGCATCCACAATGGGTGTTTACTAAGAGTTGAATAGATGATGACTAGGATTGAATAGAAGTTTAATGGAATATAAATGATGACACCGATGAAAGTTGAATGAGAGAGTTGCATGATCATTGAGTGGTTCAATGGATTTAATCTTTTCTTTTTCAATTAAATTTCTAACCAAATATAGAAATTCATTAAACTTTATAAGTTTAATGAAGTATGGATGTTAAAGAGCATAGTTGAATAAAAAAAATGAAATGTTGATGTCACAATCCATTGAACTCCTTAGAGTTCAATGAATTGTGGATACCCTTAGACTGTACAAAGCTCGCATTCCTGACCCATGGACCGAGTTGGACCTATAAGTTCGGCCTGAAAGCCCAACCCCAATGTGCAACCTTACTCTTGACTTCCCCCGGGTGAATCTCAAATGCTATTGATTATTAGAACTCTATTATAGTTACCTTGTTAGGTTAAATGTATTCCAATCATAGAAATGGTGATGGTATGAGTATGATACTTGAATTCTCTCTTGTTTGAATCCATGTGGCTTCCAGATAATTGGTAATTAAGGACGTGACTAGTAGAGATGTATCTTATGACCTAACGACAATTTCTAAAGGATAGCTGGGTATTCCGTAATTCTGACAACTAGTACTATTGCGGCTCTGAAGAGAAAAATATAATAAATAAATGAGAAAATAAATGTTTGATCGATTAATGTAATAAATCAGAAAAAAATGGTTTTGTTGTAAAAAATAATAACACTGTGGTTTTTCATGCTTTGAAGGATAGTAAGTTGGGTTTTATTTGAAGTATTTCCCAAAAAAAAAAAAAAAGAGTTAATTAAGAGACCTGATCCAAAGAAAATAACATACTTACATAGACCATTTGTAAGGTTTACAAGTCGATTTTATCCTAGTCAAAATTGTTTAATTTTATCAAAGTTTGAAGATCAAAAGTGCATGAGCATAGATTAATTATATGTACCAAACTAGAATTGAGGCCAAAACCATTAGGAGCTAAATGATCTTAACTCCAAACTATAAGGTGTGTTTTGGTCAAACCACAAAAATCACATCTTATTAGAGCGACACGACTGTATCTACAATATACGGATGAGATCACGTAACCGAGTAACTGGACGGTTAGAACTGAGAGATATTCGGCGTTGCGTTAGCTATATATTCATTCACTCTATATGAACCCTAAATTCCTTGCGGATTAGCGGAATTAGTTCAGTCTGTATTTTATTAATATTCGTGGTTCTTTCAACTAAAGGTTAACGGGAGTTAAGGTTGCATTTGGTTTTATTTTTCCGAAAGAAAGAAGAAATTAACCAGTCGGTGAGATCTGTATGTTATTCGTTTTCTTATTATATCACTACTTCGTAGATTGTCTCAAATGTGGAATTATTAAAAAAGTGGTAACCTGTTTGGTTTATGGTTTATAAGCAGAAACTTATATTTGATCAAGTTTTGAGTTTTTATTGTATATATACTTGGTAACATGTGCTAAATAATCTTAATGGTGGACGCACTTGCAGGTCAACATGGGGAGTAAACTAGAAATCCTAGTAATTTCAATGTTCTTGTCAACCCTTTTCTACACTCCGGTATTTTCCACATCAACTGATGGGCTTGTTAGGATTGGACTGAAAAAAGTGAAAACCGAACGAACAGATGATATAGCTTCCCTCCTTGCTTTGAATAATGGTGATTATAACTTAAAGACGTTTATAAGGAAGTATAGACAAAGTTCAAAAAATCTTGGTGATTCCCAAGACTCTGATATTGTAGCATTGAAGAACTATATGGATGCTCAATATTTTGGTGAGATAGGCATTGGCACCCCACCTCAGAAGTTCAAAGTCGTATTTGACACGGGTAGTTCTAACTTGTGGGTGCCATCGTCTGAATGTTCATATTCGGTAAGCATGTCTTACATTATTTTAATAAAAGTACGATGAACAGAAACTTAACGTTCACTAAGGTTATATATATAATATACGCTACATGTGCAGGTATCTTGCTATTTCCACACAAAATACCAGTCAAGTCAATCAAGCACCTACAAAATGAATGGTTAGTGAGTTACTTTTATTTTGTTCTACTATAAACATTTTGAACATGCCTAGAGGCTATAGAGTAAATCACCAGATTCCACGTAATTGTTAGCATCCATTCTTTTGTAAGCCGACAAGAAGCCAAAAGGAAATATATTAATTATTGGATGTGACACTACATAATCGAGATCTTTACGGTATAACTCAAACAGTACTAGGTTCATACTCATAGTGGATCTCTAAAACTACTCTAAATTGATACTCTTATACTCGGTACAACTCTCGCGCTTAAAAAGTAATAGTGTTGGAAAAACTTTCAACAAATATAAACTTTCAAAATATAGAAGTGGATTTAAGTCACTATATATGAATTTTCTCATAGAATTTGTTTAATTAGGTTTGGTTATTCACAATATAAAAAGATAAGCTACAAATGTTTTTACCAAAGTTTTGTTTTTATATGAGCAGTAAAAGTTGGTTATATAAAATTGACCTTTTGCATTCTGGGTGACCGACTGAGAGAAATCGGGAGTTGGATCTATTAGACAAATATAGTTCTTGTACCATTCTTTATTTGTCCATTAGTTAGAGGGGTGTTCATGTAAGTTATTTATTAGTTAGAGGGGTGTTCATGTAATTTATTTACCTATATATATCATTGTAACTCTCGTGGATCCGCAACAGAGTTTTTATTAACTTTCACAGGATCCAACCTTTTAGCCACGTGTCACTATTGAGAACCATTGAAAACACAATCCTCATTTCGTATCGATCTTAGGCCGAATGACCGATAGATAGGTCAATGAACAAACCATTAATCAATGGTTTTAGAAGTTAAAATATCCATATGCGAAACCTAATGGTAGTGAAATCGGTTCCTAAAAAGCACGATTATGGCTCTAAGAAATATTTTAAAATGCGAGATTACATGTCAAACTGTTCCAAATAAAGTTTTATTAAGAAATCAACTTCAAAATAATTTTTCAAACTGTTAATTTTGTATTATAAAAAAAAAATGATTTAAAAGGGTAATATATTTTTCGATTTATACACATTTTGTCACTAAGTTTTTTTTTTCGTCTATATTTGTCCATTCAACTTGATTAACTGTACACATTCAGTTCTTATCACCAAGTAAACCAGAAAAAATGACTTAATAGAGTAATATATTTTTTACTTTGTACACATTTAGTCCTTAATGTTTTTTGCATATTTAGTCATTAATTTTTTTTGCACATTTAGTCCTTAATGTTTTTTTTTGCACATTCAGTACTTATGAACGGTTTTTTTAGGTTTTTCTCATGTCATCCTACATGGGATAATCATTAATGAGGTGTCCGACGTTGCTTATGCTTATAGTCGTCGTTGCCTCGATTCTTTAGGTGCTTAAGTTTTGTGTTCTGAACGTCGTAAATTCTTCATACTATCTCGGATTTTGACGATCTTTATATTCATGTGTATGTGTTTTTATTTGAGTCTACTATAATTTTCATTTAAATTACTCCGATTACAAAATAATATATTTTTTTACTTCTGATTTTATAAATATAAAAAATGTTCATACATATATTCATAAAGAACACATGTATATAAATATTATAAGTAAAAATATATATTACTTTTTAACATGAGTAATTTAAACGAAAAATGTAGTAGACTTAAATACAAACATGTGGATATAAAGATCGTTAAAATATGAAATTGTATGAATAGTTACGAAATTAGAACACATGACCTAAGCGAAACACATGACCTAAGCAACTAAGCAACAGAGGTCGTGGTGACCATAAGCATAAACAACCTCGAACACATCATTAATTATTGTCCCGCGTAGGATGTTGTGACAAAAACCTTAAAAAACTAGTCATAAGTATTGAATGTATACAAAACAACAAGGATTTATTTTGTATTAAAAAAAAATATATTAATGACTAAATGTGCAAAAAAAATATTAAGGATTAAATGTATACAAAGTGAGAAATATATTACACTATTAAATCATTTTTTCCGATTTACCTGGAGTAGTCGGTCATAAGGATTGAATGTGTACAGTTAAACAAGTTGAATGAGTAATTGTAGATGAAAACAAAAAACCCAATGACTAAATGTGTACAAATCGAGAAGTATTACCCTTTTAAGTCACTATCCCTTCTAAAAAGTACTTCGAAACAATTTTCAAGAGTGAAAAAGAGAAAATCTGGAAAAAAAATGATTGATGAATTTTGAAGACTAACATAAAAAGTCACTCTATTACCATAAAATTTCGATTTTGACACCGAGTTTTTTCCTCAATTATGTCACTATATTATAATTTTGTTGTAATATCAACCAAATGACTGGTTCTCCATGTTCTCCATGTTCTCCCAGTAACCATTTTTCCTGAATTGCAATAAAGTCACTAAGTTTACCAAAATTTCGATTTTGACACCAAGTTTCAAATTACAAAAAGTCACTATATTATTACAAAATTTTGATTTTCACACTGAGTTTTTTTCTACACAATTACTTCTTTACAATTACAATTTTGTTGCAATATGAACCAATTGACCAATTCAGGAGATGTTATTGTGGTTTAGAAGCTCGACTTGTACAACAAATAAATTAAGGTATGTCCAATGGTTCAAATTCACTTACATGTCAGCGAAAAGGGCATAGTCACCCTTTCAAGAGATGTTATGGTGGTTTAGAAGCTGGATTTGTACAACGTATAAATGAAGACCCCTACAAGTTTGATGTAGTAGTTCAAACTCACTAACCATCTCCTGGATCGACGTTGTAGGGGTCTTCATTTACTTGTATAAATCGAGCTTCTGAAACCACAATAGCATTTCCTAAAAGGGTGGGTATGCCCTTTTTCACCGACTTGTAACGTCCCTATAATACTAGTAAAAATTTTATTTTTAAACCACCAAAAATCATACAATCATTTGTTTAAAAGCCAACCAATATATAATGTATTTCTCAATCATTAGAGTAAAACAAAATAGATAATGCGAAAATCAACTACATGGGATGTAGTATGATCAGGACAGGCCTTTCCCTTTGGAACCATAAGTACCTGAAACATTTAAACATAAATTGTAAGCATAAAGCTTAGTGAGTTCCCCGAAATACCACATACCATACATAACATCGGGCCTCGCCCATACAACTAACGAGTGTTGCCTTCACAATGGGCCTCGCCCTGGTACCGGGCCTACCCACATCACGGGTTCCGCCCAACATACATGCAAGAGTCACAAAGATAATCTAACATCCTACAAGGTATAGTGAGAAAAATCACCTCACACTCACAGATGAAACAACCATAGCTTGAAAGTCGAGGAACTGGTGCTACAATCTACCTATCGAAATACCCAAGGTCAAACCTTAGTCTACACGCCAAAACTAGCAATTTGACCAAAAGTCAACCAGGTCAAAAAGTCAATGGTCAGCAGTCTCCATGTCGTGGCCAACCTAAGGCCACATCATGGCTATCCAATCTCAATTGCGACCAAAATATGCTACCACGTCATGGAAAGCATGCCACCACATCGTGGCAGAGTCCAAACAAAACAATCGTGAAGCATCCTTCACCACGTCGTGGCACCTATCTTGCCAGTCCTGGCTACTACACATGGACAACTTAATTGATTAAGTCCTTAATTCATTAAGCCTCTTGTTCATACTTTCCAGTAGGCTTCTTGGGATCCTAATGGCCTATAAAAATCCAAACTTTATGGACATGTATGACCCATGCATGTCCTTCACTCAACTAGGTCAAAAAGGGTATAAATGACTTAAAGCTCATGCATGGCTTCCAAAAACTCATTCAACTTCTAGATCTCGAAGATATAGTGACCAAAGGACTAAGGTGATCCATAAAGTTGCAAACTTTATCTCATCTAACCATTCAAATCTCACTTATGAGCCAAAATATTCTACAAAACTTAGATGAGTTGCTTGCTTCATCTATGTAAAAAAGTTCCTTTTTCTTCCTTCCAAGACCACAAAATCACCAAAAATGAGTCAAGAACTTCAAAAGGAGGCTATGGTTGATCGAGGGCTCTTTGGAGTTGATGGAGGCTGAGGTTGGAGGAAACCCTAGCCATCACTTCCTTTAAATAGGGCTCAAGGCCGAAAATTTAGGGTTTTCTTAATGTCGTAACCACGTCGTGGCCATTGCATGACCACGTCATGGTGTCTTAAATGAAACATGTGTTTCATGTAACAATGCCACGTTGTGTTGATCATTTTACCAAGTCGTTGCCACCCATAAATCTCAAAATTAAAAGTGAAATTCAAACCAGAAACCGGGCGTTACAACTAACTTTTAAATGAATTTGAACCACTACATTGACTTTCACATGCCATTTGTGATGAAATACTTTGACGAGAATTAAACATTAAACATTATAATAAAAAGTGTCACCTAAAAGGGTTAGTACGCCGTTTTTTCTGACTTTTAAGTGAGTTTGAACCACTAGATCAACCTAAAAAGATATGTGAAATTGGGTTCGATGCAAACCCTATAATTGAAACTCAGTCTTACCGCATAAGATCGGATGTGGCTTCCACATCACAATATTGTCAGGCCATTTATTTGGTAACCTGCTAATTAATGGTAATCGGTTAATTGGTTGACATTACAATATCAACAAAATTGTTAAAATATCTAAAAATATTGTTATGATATCAACAACATTGTTGCAATATTAACCAAAATTGTTGCAATGTCAACCAATTGACTGATTACCATCAATCTAACAGGTTGCCAAATAAATGGCATGACAATATTGTGATGTGGAAGCTACGTAAGATCTTATGTGGTAGGATTAAGTTTCAAATATAGGGTTTGCATCGAACCCAATTTCACATATCTTTGTAGGTTGATCTAGTGGTTCAAACTCACTTATAAAGTTAGTAAAAAGGGCGTACTCACCCTTTTTAGGTGACAAATTTTATGATAATTTTTCATGTTTAATTCTCTTTAGAATATTTCTTCACAAATGGCGTCTGAAGGTCAATTAGTTTTTCAAA